GAGGGGCTGTTTCCTTCTAAATGGTTTTAGGCGCCATGTTTTTAACATGACATGGTTTCATAGGCTGACCACAGACTGGATATATGTAGCATTTGGAAAATGAATACAATGAAATAAGCTAATGCACATGTGACAAAAATCTCAGAATGTCCAGCGACCACTGCACAGAAAAATATGCAAAGTTTAAAGCAGGTCATTTTATTTTTGGTAGAGCAATATTAAATGTTATGGCATATACAAGTATAAACTCTGCTTGACAAGGAGTTTCAGCCTGTTTTTATGTCTGTCTCATCTCTATTCAATTTGTTTAATTTTAGTCATAGTCAGAAAATCACTTTTTCAAATAGTTTTTCTAATGAATATGCATAAAAAATTGCTGTCTTCTACATTTTACTTTGCAACTTCATCGGTTTGTAAAATCGTCTTTTTTGGTACTATATGACCTTATTGTGTTGCAAGTGCTGTATGTAAGGTTTGTATGTTAACGAAGGACTCTTTTTCAAAATTGGTAAAGTGTATAGGGTGCCTCGAAGTTGCAAGTTTTATAGGTTGAGTTTAGCAATTGTAAGAGTTCCGTTTACTCTTATTTGATTTTGGTCCCCATGTTAATGAGCAATTGTTTTATCAAAGTTTACATCATGTGATATTCAGTGATGAATAAAAAATTCATGCCAATTCATTTATTTGTCTATGGTGTCTTTTAAGATGTTATCTTATAGTATGTTTTGGTGGATATGCTGATTTACCTAGTAAAAGTGCTGTTATTGTTATCGTTTTTGTTTTCGTGGGTGGTTGGAGGGCTCCACTGGTAGGTCATTCTTCTTTATTTCCCTCTGTTGTTTCTTTCTCTGTCTGTCTCTTACCTTTTTCCAACACTAAATGACCATCGTTGTATCGATGTGCTTCTCTTCTTTACTCAAAGAACCAAACCACTTTTTTCCCTAGACTATAGATGGCCATCTTAAACAATTTCGACTGTACGCTCAATCCACCTTAGGACAAGCATTAAATTGGTGGTACAGCCGTAAACAGGATAGCGCCGATTGCCATCTTGACTAGTGGTAGGCTGGTAAAGCTAGAGACTATCAGGCTGTGGCCAGTCTTGACTCATCTAAATCTGTCTGGAGCGATAGCCATGTGCAGGGGAAAAAAGACATGTACAGCTCTAGCTGTATTGCACACTTGAAAATTTCTGCTTGATCAAAAGCTTTAAAAAGTGTCAAGGCCCAAGTACTCTATTTAGTACTGCTTTTTAAAATTTTTGTTTGTTTTTATGTTTTTACCTGATACTCGTCATCGTTAGTCCCCTGGCCACCTCAGAACTATCACACAGACTTAAACGTGAATCCTTACAACATAAAAGTAACAGCTGTGGTAGGTGGTTGGGGGGGGTGCTCTGGTGTGGTTTGCTTCTTCTTTCCTATCAAACATCTATCGTCTTTATCTCCCCTCCTTCTTTTTTTGTGTTTGCTACTTTCTTGTAACACCTCCTCTAATCTTCGGCACTTATATGACCTTATTGTGTTGCAAGTGCCGTAAAACTCTTACTAAAACTAAACTTCAACATAAAAGTAACCCAGTAGTCTTTGAATGTGTTACCTCACAATGGTACCTGTGGGTGGTTGGCAGGTGCTCTGGTGTTGTTTGTTCCTTCTTTCCTATCAATTAATATTATTTATCGTCCTTGTCTGACCTCTTTACCTTTTCTTTGTGTTTTCCGGTCTAGTAGCAACACCTCAGATCTTCGGCAGCTGTGTGTCTACGTTGCAAGTGCTGTAAAACTCTTGTTATGAAGTACCCCCCCCCCCCTTTCCGCCGAAAAAAAGTAAAACATTGAAGAATAATGTTTGCCACCACCAGTTAAAGAGAGGTAGCTGCATGAAATCGTCGCCTCGAACAAAACTTGGAGAGTTGTTGCGCTTTGATCATGGCGATGAATGGGGGTTGTTGCAACAACTGTTAACAGTGTGAACTTATTGGCAATGTCAACTTTGTGTCATCGTATATAAGACGCATGTGTGGATAAAGCGCAGATAGGCTTGACAGTCAAAGGTTTGGTACATGTTTAAATCATAATTGTTATGGCCATCTGATAAGACGCGCACTCAACTTTTTCATGGCAAGCACCAGTACTCACACAAGTGCATGTATATGGAGAGTCAAAGAGAGCTGCAGGAGCTCAACATTGCTCTAGTGTTTTTTCATCAATCTGTTTCTGGATTTTGTGAATCTTTTTTACGTCTTCTTCGTGAAAGAGTTGTGCATGCAGTGGTGTCAAATAATCACGAATAAATGCTCATCGCCCGTAGATTCATTAGCAAAAACAACAGTTAGGACTTTGAGACTTTTCATTTTCTTGTTGAGATGTGGACTCCAAGTTTAGCTGGTATTGACCCACAACGTAAACGGTAAACAGAGTGGTGTATGCATGCATGGAGCTTAAAACCATTGGAGTTCAGTGTCTTACAAATTGCCCCTCATAATTATACTTCCTGAAAGCCAAAGTAAAAACATTATAGCACTGATGCATGTGTAGAAACTCCACATTGTTGCGTTGAAAAGGTCCCTTGTCTCACCACCATTCATCTAAGGTACACCTTCCCCGTCATACAAGTCACACAGAAGCAGGTGGTAGGCGGGTGTTTTGTGTTGTTTGTTCCTTCTTTCCTACCAAACATCCACCATCCTTATCTCCCCTCCTTATTTTTTTGGGTATGTTACTCTCTTGTTACCCCTCTAATCTTTGGCACTTGTATAATTTATTCATATTGCGAGCGCTGTAAAACTTTGACTTTAACAAAACATTCATCTCAGTTGCTTCATCCTCTTCATGCAATAAGTCACACAGTATGTGAGTCTGTTACAGTTACTGTGGTCGGCCCTCACTGTTATTTATTTATTTATTTATTTATTTATTTATTTATTTATTTATTTATTTATTTATTTATTTATTATTATTATTATTATTATTTTTTTTAATTTTTATTTTTTTATTTTTTTTTTTTTGGGGGGGGGGGGTCCTGTTTCATATCTCATGGATAAGACGCAAGACGACTTTAAAAGAAAGATTTTTGTGGCAAATACTGGGCGTCTAAATACAAAAAAAGAGGACCAATTTAAAGGGCAATAACTCGATCGTCTTTGGACCAATTTCAACCAAACTTTAAACAAACAAAATTCAACCACAAGGACATAATAAAGTCTGTGAATAGGAAGAAAATCAGCCAAAGTGTTCGAAAAATATAGGTTTTTAAAATTCACTTTCAACCAAAATTGAGTGAAATGCAGCTGAAAGAAATAGAACTGAT